ACCTGCGCGAAGAGGCCCGCCGCAACAACCCCACCGGGACCACACGCCCGGACCCGGGCGTCTCTGTCGAGAATGCCGTCAACGAGTTTGAACATTTACAGCGCGAGCTGTCAGGCCTTTCACGCGCAAGTCGCATCCGAAGCCGCACTGACAGCCGCGCCAGTCACAACCGTATCCCGCTCGACACAGAAAAGACCGTCGCAGGCAAGTCCGCGGATGATGCCCACGGCGACGACAACGGCGATGAGAGCAGCGAGGACCGTTTCGACCTCGAGAGCTACCTGCGTGGCAGCTTGGCGGCAGAGCGCGCGGCGGGCATCCGGCCGAAGCATATTGGCGTGTATTGGGACCAGTTTTCGGTCCGCGGTATGGGCGGCACCTCGAATTATGTGCGCACGTTCCCCGATGCCATTGTGGGCTTCTTCGACGTTATCAGCCCGCTGCTGCGCTGGATGGGCCGCGGACCCCGAGGCAAGCAGAGAACCATCCTCGAAAACTTCCGCGGTGTCTGCAAGCCTGGCGAGATGGTGCTCGTGCTCGGCAAGCCTGGCTCCGGATGCACGACCTTCCTCAAGACCATTGCAAACCAGCGCTACGGTTACACGGGCTTCGACGGCGAGGTCACCTACGGCCCCTTCTCCGCCAAGGAGTTTGAGGACTACCGCGGCGAGTGCGTTTACAACCAGGAGGACGACGTCCACCACGCCACGCTGACCGTCGAGCAGACGCTCGCCTTCGCGCTCGACACCAAAGTGGCCGGCAAGCTGCCGGAGGGCATGACCAAGGCCAAGTTCAAGGCCCAGGTCGTCGACACCATGCTCAAGATGTTCAACATTGAGCACACCCGGAACACCGTCGTCGGTGGCCCCTTTGTTCGTGGCATCTCGGGTGGCGAGAAGAAGCGTGTCAGCATTGCCGAAATGCTCTGCACCAACGCCTGCGTCGTCTCTTTCGACAACAGCACTCGCGGCCTCGACGCATCCACCGCACTCGACTTTGTCAAGTGTCTGCGCGCCTACTGCACTCTCTACCAGACCACCACATTTGTGTCTCTCTACCAAGCGTCGGAGAACATCTTCTCCCAGTTTGACAAGGTCCTTGTCATCGACGGCGGTCGCCAGGCCTACTTCGGCCCTGCCCAGGAGGCCCGTGGCTACTTTGAGAGTCTCGGCTTCGAGTCCCGTCCGCGCCAGACTACGCCCGACTACGTGACCGGGTGCACCGACGAGTACGAACGCATCTACGCACCAGGCTTCTCCGAGGAGAATGCCCCCCATGACCCACCATCGCTCGCCGCGGCCTTTGACCGGTCGACGTTTGCCGCCCGCCTCGACGACGAGATGGCGGCCTACAAGGCCACCCTGCCTGAGGAGGAGGAAAAGTACCACGACTTCCGCCTTGCCGTGAAGGAGAGCAAGCAGTGGGGTGCCGGTGGCACCGTCTATGCCATCCCCTTCTACCGCCAGATCTGGGCCTTGATCAAGCGCCAGTTTGTCCTTAAGTGGCAGGACAAGGTCGCCCTTGCTCTCGCCTGGTTCCGTACCATCATCATCGCCATCGTCCTCGCTACCCTCTACCTGCGCCTCCCAGTCACGACTGAAAGCGCCTTTGGCAAGGGTGGTCTCATGTTCATTTCGCTGCTGTTCAACGCTTTCGAAGCCTTCGCCGAGTTGTCCACGATTATGCTGGGACGCGGTGTTCTCAACAAACATCGAGCTTACGCCTTCCATCGACCATCGGCACTCTGGCTTGCCCAGATCATCGTCGACCAGGCCTTTGCCGTCACGCGCATCTTCGTCTTCTGTATCATTGTCTACTTTGCGAGCGACCTCTATCGGAGCCCTAGTGCCTTCTTCACCTTCTTCCTCATGATCCTCTCCGGCAACATTGCCATGACGCTGTTCGTCCGCATTGTGGGCTGCATCAGTCCTGATTTCGACTACGCAAACAAGATGGCTGTCGTCATAGTGACGCTCTTCATCATTACGTCCGGCTACCTGATCCAGTACCAGTCGGAGAAGGTGTGGTTGCGATGGATCTACTACATCAACATATTGGGTCTCGTGTTTAGCGCCATGATGGAAAACGAGTTCAGTCACATCACCATGGTATGCAGTCCCGAGACACTGATTCCCTCCGGTCCAGGCTACGACGACATCAACCACCAAGTCTGCACGCTTCCCGGTTCCGTGTACGGCACCAATATGGTGTCGGGTACCGCCTACATTGAGCAAGGCTTCTCGTACTCGCCCAACGATCTGTGGCGCAACTGGGGCATTGTCTTCGCCATCATTGTCTTCTTTCTCTTCCTCAACGTCATCTTGGGCGAGATCGTCCGCTTTGGTATGGGTGGCAACGCCGCTCTTGTGTACAGCCGCCCGAGCAAGGAGCGGACGCAGCTCAACAAGCAGCTCCTCGAGAAGCGAGACGAGCGCCGCCGCACAAAGAAAGAAGCGACTAGCTCCGAGCTCAGCATCAACTCCAAGAGCATTCTCACGTGGGAGGCTCTGAACTACGATGTGCCCGTCGCAGGTGGCACGCGCCGCCTCCTCGACAATGTCTACGGTTACGTGAAGCCCGGCTCCCTGACGGCGCTCATGGGTGCCTCGGGCGCCGGCAAGACGACTCTACTCGATGTCCTTGCCGCTCGCAAGAACATTGGCGTCATCTCTCCCTCGCGCAGTGTCCTCGTAGACGGCCAGAAGCCCGGCAAGCAATTCCAGCGCAGTACCTCGTACGCCGAGCAGATGGACGTCCACGACCCGTCCCAGACCGTCCGCGAGGCCTTCCGCTTCTCGGCGGACCTTCGCCAGCCCTACGAGACCCCGCGTGCGGAGAAGTACGCTTACGTCGAGGAAATTATTGGCCTTTTGGAGCTGGAAGAGCTGGCTGACTGTATCATCGGCCTTCCCGAGGCTGGCCTGACCGTCGAGCAGCGTAAGCGCGTCACCATCGGTGTCGAGCTGGCGGCCAGGCCCGAAATGCTTCTGTTCCTGGACGAGCCCACCTCCGGTCTCGACTCCCAGTCCGCCTACAACATTATCCGCTTCCTCCGCAAGCTGGCCGCTGCCGGCCAGGCCATTCTCTGCACGATCCATCAGCCCAACGCCGCCCTCTTTGACCAGTTCGACCGTCTCCTGCTCCTCCGCTCTGGTGGCCGCTGTATCTACTTTGGCGACATTGGCAAGGACGCCGACATTCTCCGCGCCTATTTCAAGCGCAACGGCGCCGTCGCCAAGGACACGGACAACGTTGCCGAGTTCATGCTGGAGGCTATTGGTGCGGGCAGTTCACCCCGTATTGGCAACCGCGACTGGGCCGAACTGTGGGCCGAGAGCCCCGAGTTCGTCGAGGTCAAGTCATCCATTGAGACGATCAAGGCCGAGCGCATCGAGGCCGTGAGACGCGAGGAGCTGGAGGCCAGCGGTGTTGTTGGCGGCGACGGCAACCTGACGCTTGAGCAGGTGAAGTCGGCGGCGACCGGCACTGGCATCAGGGCGGTGGCGCCGCAGAAGGAGTACGCCTCGCCGTTCATCCACCAGGTCAGGATTGTCGTGCACCGCACCAGCGTCGCGCTCTTCCGCGAGGCCAACTACCAGTTCTCCCGCTTGTTCAACCACGTCGTCATTGCTCTGCTCACCGGCCTCACGTACCTGAACCTGGACGACTCGCGTTCGTCTCTGCAGTACAAGGTCTTCGTTATGTTCCAGGTCACGGTCCTGCCGGCCCTGATCATCTCGCCCGTCGAGGTCATGTACCACATCAAGCGCAGCATCTTCTTCCGCGAGTCGTCGTCCAAGATGTACAGCGGCCCTGTCTTCGCTCTGGGCATGCTGGTGGCCGAGCTGCCGTACGCCATTTTGTGCGCTGTGGCCTTCTTCCTGCCTCTGTACTACATGCCCGGCCTGCAGACGGAGACGTCGCGTGCCGGTTTGCAGTTCTTCTTCGTCCTGATCACGGAGCTCTTCAGCATTACGCTGGGCCAGGCCCTCTCCGCGCTGACCCCGTCGACATTCATCTCGAGCCAGTTCGACCCGTTTATTATGATTACGTTTGCGCTGTTCTGCGGTGTCACGATCTCGTCGGCCAACATGCCCGCGTTCTGGCGCTCGTGGCTGTACCAGCTGGACCCCTTCACGCGCCTGATTGGCGGCATGGTGGTCACGGCGCTGCACGACCTGCCGGTGGTGTGCAAGGAGGCCGAACTCAACGTGTTCCAGCCGCCGTCCAACATGACATGCGAAGACTACATGGAGCCCTTCTTCAGCCGTGGCGGCTCGGGTTACATTGCCAACCCGACATCCATGTCCGACTGCGGTTACTGTGCGTACAAGGTGGGCGACCAGTTCTATGAGCCGCTCAACCTGTCGTTTGACAACCGCTGGCGCGATCTGGGCATCTACCTTTCGTTCATTGCCAGCAACGTGATTATCATCTTCCTTGCTGTAAGTAGATCATGGGCCCCTCCACCCCGCCTCCTCCCCCAAAAAGCAGCTGCTAACCTTGTCTCAGTCCCGCTTCTTGAACTTCAACAAGCGTTAACCGTCCCAACTACTTCTACATCGTCTTTCACCCTTGAGGCCATGACCTCCGATTCGATTTTCTTTTAATATCCTGATGATATTTTCTTTTTCTTTTTTCGTTTACAGCCAGGCCAAATTTGTTTTCTGTTCACAACTCATATAATAGAATGAGAGTAAAGAGTGGAAGCTTCAAAAAAGGGGTTAGGTTAGACAAGGCCTTGATTTTCAAGAACTACAGCGGCATACCAATAGATTGTGTGATTTACAGCCAGCGAAAGGACATGGGGAGAGGGATAGTCCACATACTAACAAAACATACGAGAGGAATATAAAAAAAGGAAAATACATACTGAGAAATAAAAAAACCTTTATACCAATTTGCATCGTTTTGCAGCTTGGCAATTAATGTACGTTCAATGCCTTTCATTTGTACAATGGTTTCATTATGTACTCCGTGCTACCTTTGCAAAATTCTTCTCAAACGTCCCGTGCCCGCACGTAACACGGCAATCCACCCTCCATAGGCAGCGTCAAGCTCGTCTTGGTGACGCGCTCCACACTCGGGTCCACCAGCGCAAAGTCAAAGTAGTAGGCGACGGCGGCCATGGTCTGCACGGCCACGGACTCGGCCATCTTCTTGCCCAGGCACGTGCGCGGACCGCCGTGAAAGACGGGGAACTCGGACGCACTGCGCGCGACGAGGCGCTGCGGGCCGCCAGCATCTGTGCCAGACGGCTGCAGCCACCGCTCGGGGCGAAACTCGTCGGCGTCGGCGCCCCAGGTACGGTGGGCGCGGTTCATGGCCCAGGAGCACCAGATGACGAGGGCCCCGCGGTGGAGCTCGGTGCCGTCGGGGAGGACGAGACACGCGGTCTCGACCTGCTTAATTTCAAAGGGGATGGGGGGAAAGAGGCGCAGGCCCTCGTAGAAGACGGCCATGGTGTAGGGCATGGCGGCGGGTGTGAGGCGGGCAAAGTCTCGGCTACTGTCGTCGACACCGTTGTCGCTGTGGTTGGTGTTGTTGCGGCTGTCGCTGCCGTCGTAGTCTGCAAAGAGCACGCCCCTGGCCTCGTGGCGGATCTTGTCGACAACGTCGGGGTGCTTCATGAGCATATAAAACGTCCATGTCAGGCCCTGCGCGACCGTATCACGTCCTATGTGTTGACGTTAGCCAAAGTGCTCCAAAAAGAGTGAGAAAGAACGACAACACCGTACCTGCGGACAAATAGTTGAGCGCGGCATCGGCGACAATCTCTTGGTCTGAAATGGCATCGAGCAGCGACTGGATAAGACTGCCCGACACCTCGTTGATTTTGCTGTCGGCGAGACTGCTGCCGGCGTCTGTGGATGTGAGGGGAGACTGTGACAAGGACGCAGTTTTGCCCCCATGCTGGGCTGCGCGGTCGGCCACGGCCGTGGATACGATGCGGCGGCCAAAGGCCTTCACGACGGCCAGCGCTCTGCGGAGGTCGGCCGCGCCGGCAATGGCCTCGGTGATGAACCACAGCGGATTCTGGAAGCGCTCGGTAGTCGCTCCCGACGCGTAGTCAAAGGCCATGGTGAACTCGTCGTCGGCATGCATCTCCATGTTGTAGGCCATGCGGCCCATGATGCACGAGGTGAGCTCGTGGAAGACGGCCTGCAGGTCAACTGGCTGCTCGTCCGTCTCTGCCTGCACCCGCAAATGGCGCAGCGTGTCGGCCAAATACTGCGGCAGGGCAATGTCGGTGAGGACGCGGATGTTGGCCGTGTTCAAGAAACTCAGGCCGGCCTTGCGCTGGGTGCGCCAGACGTCGCCGTCGGCATTGACGATGCCGTGGCCAAACAGGTCCCAGAGCATGCCCCGGACGAAGCTGCCCTTGCCGATGAGGCTGCCCTCGTTCTTGAAGATGAACTCGAGGTTGCGCGGATCGTTGATGACAACGCCCGGGGGCAGCGTGGGCACGGCGACCTGGAAGGTCTCGTAGGAAAACTGGCGCTGGCACTTGACGAACCATGCGAACAGCTTCTGGCGTGCTTGCAGGAAGAGGATGCCATTACCCAGCAGTGGCAGTGTGTTTGGTGGTTTCCTGGGACGTGTTTAGAACTGTGCAACGCACGAGGACGAAGCAGGCCCGGGGACTGCCGGGGACCTTTCGGGGGCCTGCCAGAGACGCCAGAGACGCCAGAGACACCAGGGACCTACCGGAGGGGGACACCGTGGCGACGGATGACGGGGGTGCGAAAGGCCGAGGCCAGGAGCACCGCCAGCAGGATGCCGGCCACGGTGTAGATGAGCTCGCGGCTGCCGATTTGCGCCATGGTGCAAGGGGCGTAGTGGAACGCAGACCTGAACTGGCCAGCTGCGGAGCCAGAGACGGTCGCTAGTAAAAGCAGCAACACAAGGTACAAAGTCGTGATGCGATGCGTCAGGTGACGATGCGTGAGACGAGGCGATGTCTGGCGACGACGTGGGCTTTTAGTGGGGCTATCGTTTCATTGCCGTCAGTGCGGGCAACCCGTGAGAATCATGTGCGACGGGCGCAGCCCTCCAGCAATCGATCACTACGGTCTGGTGGTGGGATCGTTCTATATCGTGTTTCGTGGGCCAGGCTTTGTCTGATGGCTCAATTGACTCGAATGGGTCGAATAGCGGCGGCTCGATTGGGTTTGGTAGAGGGAAGGTGAAGCCGCAGAGGCGATGCAGCGAGGAGGCAGGAGCGAGGGGCTTTGTGCTGCGTCCCGGGAAGGCGGCTGTATGTTTTCTTTCGACGGGACGCAGGCTCGGCGGGTAACTGCGGCCCAGAGTTGCTCTTTCCTCGATTAAACGAGTGCCGATGTTTGTGATGTCGCGTTTGACGGCAGGAGTGAAATATGCTCTTTCCTTTCGCAGCGGAATACACCTCGTACACGTTGCGCGCATCTTGAAATCCAGAGATCAAAAACTCACTTCCTGCGGTCACGCGTTTGGCCGCGCCTTCGACGTCGCGTCTTGAGAGGCTCCTTCCCTGTCCCCGGATGCATCAATTATGCCGATGGTCGTCGCGGGGCCAGTGGCGCGGATTTCGCCTTCGGGCAAACTGGCCCCCATTCGGTCTGCCGTTTTGTACCGTCCATTCGCGCCTGCCAAAAACGAGCTATTCGATCGCACTACTGGAGGGGCGCAGTCAGGCTGGGCAGCATCTTGAAATGTGGTCTCGTGATGCACGGTCTCCCTTGTGTTGAAGGAAATATACTGGAAAAACCTCTTGATATCGTAAGTGCAGGTCAACCTCGTCTTCTGTTTTACATGGTTTACAATTGTTTATCCTTCTAGGTTGTTTATTGTTTTAAATTTTTTATGGGATATTCCATTTATATTTTTTATTATTTGGGACTCGATTTATTCAGTTTTTCAGATAATTGTGACATCCAAAATTCACTGATCCTCGTCCATAAAAGCTGACCCAACAGATGGCGAGGCTCGCAGGGAGCGCTGCACTGCAATTTTCGCTGGGGCTCTCCATCCTCATCCTACGTAGCAACATAGTCGACAAGAAACACACTCTGCAGATATCAGAGAAGGACGACAATGACTGAGGCCCAAGAATCGAGTAGACCCTGATCGTCATGACAGTAGTCCTTCTCCAGTACCCCGCTCTGACAGCTCAACGACTCACTTCACTTGGACAACACGCTCCGAGACACCAAGGGTCGTGGCCGATGGTTCCTGTCACCGACGGTGTCATCTCGCTGTCCAAACTGGCCATGGTAGCCAGCCCCGCGAACTGTCCCCGGCGATAAAAGATCAACGGTGTGTTGCGTCGAGTCTCTGTAGGCAGACGTGGCAGGCACAGTGAAGCAAGGGGGTATGGCAGGCAATGCTCATGCACGACATCAGGAGGTGCGATTTGGTCTTTGCCTGCCGGTCAAGACGGCGATCGTTCCGGGGATGATGGAGTGAATTCGGGCAGGGCGACGGTGCCGCCGCTGGTCGGAACGCCGTAGTGGTTTTCGAGATCGTGTTCATTTGTCCCTGTCCGGCCGCGTTCGTTCGTCCCCTTATTCCATTTCCTCTAGTCTTGCTCTTCCTCTCCCAGCCCCATTGACCACGCCGGAGAAGACGAGGCCATTCGACTCCTGCTGTGCCGCTACGATGGCCGTCGTAGGCTGTGTCTCCCTACCCCTCCTCTTCACCACGCTCAAGTAAGGGGTGGAAGAGAGCGACAAGAGACGAGACACAGGATTGACAGAACGCCAGACCGACAACGAGTACGACGAAAGAGCGACAAGAACGCCACTGGCGGACTTCTCCGCCTGATTCATTGGTGTACGTGGACGGGCTGGACTGGCGATGCTCCTTGTCAAACCGAACACCACAAGACTAGGACGGCCCGCGATGCGGCAAGGGAAAGAGGGGGAAGAGGAAAAAATGGAAGCTAGAGAAGCAATGGGTAAAGCTCGACCATCGCGGACACGCAGCGATGTCGATCATGTTGGCTTCATGCACCTTTGTTGCTTTGTTTGCCCGTTTTTGCTGGCTCGCCCGACCTCTTTTTTGTCTTTGCGCTGAGGACCAGGCAAAATATCAAAAAGAAGGCGGCACTGAGACATGCATGTTCGCTGGGGCCGACTGTGACGCTCCACGCCCGTGTCTTAGTGGAAGACACTCAGACACTGTTGTCAAATGGGGTACTCTGTCTCAATGTCTCAGACATTTTCGTTTCGTTATGCATCTTGCGCTTTTGGCAGCACCTGAAGGCACTTCACATCTTGCAAGCCATTGCCATTCGTTTTGGCTCCTTGCTTGGCTGGTGGCCTGCTTCGATCTATCCGACCACTCGGCCCTCTTTCTGACCAACCTCTCTCTGTGCTACCCATGCCTGGCACCGGCTGGTAATGCTATGGAAGGAAGAAAAAGATTTCGGCGGACGGGCATAAGCAGAAGGTAACACACAGGAGACACAAACACGCGAGGCAATCCACACCGTGCACAAGCTTATCAAATAGCAAACGAGGGAGGCGCGCGGGCGGTGACACCTTGGCGATCCAGATCTGAACCAAGCTGAAAAACAAACAATAACGAACCAGTCCGTGACCGAAGACAGAATCAGAGGCGGCAAGGGAGAGCGAATCGTGGGCAAAAACACGACAGGCACACCGGATGACAAAAACAAAGCATCGGAGACAAGATGCAAGGGAGCAAAGACAAAAAGACAAAGATTGCGAACCAACATCGAAGCGAGATGTAGGCAGATCCATTCTCTCCTTTTGCTGGTTGTCGGTTTTCCATGCGACGTTGTCTGCTCGTTGAACTCCCATCCATGTCTCGGGCGGGTTCGTCCAGAAATCGTACCTCAAGCCTCGTCTGGTAAAGCCATGTTTGTGGCCGCGACAGAATAAAAAACCTCGTCCCAACACCCAACAGACACGTTCCGTAATGAAAGGAGGCTGCGCGTGGGAAACGGCAAAGTCCCAAAGACCAAGAATCACGAACCGGTGGGCAGTATCCCATGCGAAAGAAAATAACGCACGTTGTGCGATGACAAACGGACGAGAAACTCCTTGGTCCTCCTCCCCTCCCGTACTGTCTTCGTTTTCCTACTGCTGTGCTTGGTTGCCAGAACAAGGCAAACTGTGGTACTGGGAGGCTGTGCGTGCGTGGATGCTTCTTTTTTTGGCCATCGTTCCCCTGCTTTTTTGTCCCGCGTCGTTTCATTTCTTCCCATCACATTCGTCTCGTCTTCTTCAGGTCTGAACCTTGTCCAGCCCTGCAGGACCCTGTTGTATGTACTTTCACCTGCATCTGTACATGAAATTTGACCTCTCGTCTCGCTCCATTTTCTTGCACGAGACAGCGCCTTATCTCGTCACAAAAGAAAATAAAATGGGACAAGAAACAACACGGGCGACGGGTGGCCTTGTTCATCGCGTCCCACCTTTCAAAAAAGAAAAGAGTAAGAAATGACAAACCGCCGACGTAATTCGTTGTAGGAGGTGGATAGGCGAGTTGCGAAAAGCCCGTGCGAAGCAGGGGGAAACAGGATAAGACTCTGATAGTTGCACACAGAGCGAATACAACGTCGCGAAAAGTACGCGACCCTGTGGCATAGCCGAGCTTCTGTCTTCCGGTGGCGGTTTCGTGAAAGAAACAAAAAATGAAAACAAAGTACTTGCATGGCGAGAAAGAGCGAGAAACCAATTGCTGAATACGATGTTTAGTTAATGACACTCTTTCGGTGAGCAATTTTGCTGCGCACCTTGGCGCAGGTTGCTCACCTTGAGCGTGTTTGGAGCCAGTGTTTCGTGTACTCTGATTCGCCCGGAAATCGGCAAAATCCAGGTACAGAGTGACGTTGCTGCACATCTCGCGTCCTCATAAGTTTGCAAAAGACATTAAAGAGCTTGAGCTTCTCCTGTGCAGTTCATTTTCTTACCAGGCCGAGTCCCTTTTTCTTTCTTTTCTTTTCTTTTCTTTTCCCCCCCTCAAAGACACGCGACAGGAACGACGACCCTTCACTTCCTTCTGCTTTGTGCTCGTGCACCTCGTCCGTATGCGATGTTGTTCGTAAATCTAATTTTGTACGCGCTCCCGGTGCCTCTGCGTCGTACTCGTGTGCTTTGTATATCGCAGTCCAACGGACCTGGTTGGCATCATTCACCTCGGATAACCATTCAGGCGTATGGACCTGGTCGTGTCTTGGATTCCATGAAAACTGTGGCGGCAAGTCCTTGCTTGAGAGAAATGCATAGATGCTTGCTTCGGACGTGGATTTCGCCCGCTAGCTTAGCTGCACAGGTGCTCAACTGGGATTCACGCCATGTCCATAATGTGCGCAGCCAAGCGACATGGAAGACCACAATGTCCTGCAACCGTTCCACGTCGCAATGAACTCCTGCAAACACGTGTAGGTAGACGTGCATGGTGGCAAATCGGGATGCACCGACATCGTGACAGGGTCGGCCCTCTTTTTTTCTTTTTTCCTTCATCCTCTCTGCTCATCATTTTCTCGTACTGACTGTCGGGGCATATTGTTTGTCTTTGTTTTCTCATAAACTTTTTGTGTCGCAGGGAGAGGAAACAGGCTTTATCCATCTGTCTGGGAGGTTCCGCCTTCCGGCATTTGGGGACCTGCAGTAACACGGTTTGACCTGGCCGAATATTAAACTTGTTTACGACGTAAGTGCGGCGTCCATACTGGGCTGGGTATGACAATGATGGATCCGTTGGCTGCATTGCCCCAGTAGTTCCACTGCGGTTGTGAGCGTTGAGAATGGTATGCATGCCCAATCGTCCTTGCTCCCTTGCTGCATTGCTGCAGGCATAACGAACACACTGCATC